CAAAGAGTAACAGTTATTACTGTACTTTAAGTACAGGGTTACCCAAAGAATTGTAATTGTAGACTGTAAAGACGACATGAAAGTGACGATATGTTTATCCAGTGAGAACCAGAAAACTCTCAAAATAAGAAGTCGACTTTTAAACTCAAGTTATAAGTTTAAATGTAAACAGACCCTTTTCAAAGTGATTTAATAACGTCAAATAAAGCTATTTACTTTGTAACTACATCAAATGCACTTGCTTTAATGTCGTCTTTCTATTCTACAGTTTTCTGGTCATCGCTATATCAAGTCTTCTGCCTTCAATATAGTTTTTAAATGCAATGCATAGTAATCTTGAATGTAAGGAAACAGACAGTATAAATTCCGTACAGTCGTCTTTAAAGTCTCATCCTTTGTGGTATAGATAACGGGTACGTACACTGTACACTGTACAATAAATAATTAATAAGAAAGAAAATTATAATTATAATTCCAAATTAGTTTACCCCATCAATAACACCAAGGGGTTCCTTTCATGTGTGGAATTTGCAAGAAAATGCATATTTATCATATAAACTATATATATATATATATATAAGATGTATATCAAATAAATTATAAAATCAATTATGCGATAAATTAGAGTTTAAAGGGACTGTAAGCGTAATTTCAAATGACCCTCGATACAAAGATGGCCATGCCCAGTTCACTACGGTCCCCTTTAAAGCTTTGTCTGATCAAGTATTAATTATATATCAATTCTTGTACTTTCTAAAACTAATTTTTTTCAATTGTGAGTTCTCTACAAAACTGACTCGCTCTTTATTACTGCAGGAGAGGTTATAGAAATTATCGGAGTTAACCATATTGAAACAAAGAAACCCGACAATATCTCCAATATTTTAAATCATGACAAATGTGTCAAGGGTACCCTTGTGTATCAGGCACTGCCATCTTTGCAATCTATGAAATTACGCTTACACTGCATGTAATAGGCCAGGCTGTAAACGTCATTTCAAATGACCGTTGTTTAAAACTGCACTACACTAATTTAAAAACAAAGATGCGAGTGTTCTTATTTTTGACCGGACATTTACCCTCCCCGGGGTCATGTGAATTGCCACAAAAAGTTTTGACCAAATCGGTTCAGCTGTTTTGACGTTACAAAAAAATAGACAACCAAATTATAAATAAAGATAAAGATGTCATTATGATATTCTTAGAATCAAAAGTCATATAATATAATATAATTTACACTGACAAACTTTGTTAAGGGAGCCCCAGAAAATTAACCCATATGAACAAAAAAATTAATTTTCTTTGGTCTTTCAAAGAAATTTTTCCTAAAAAGGTTAAATAATTTTTATACAACAGAAAATTTAAGTGTGACTACTGACTATGCGCCTAATAATAAGCAAGGTTACTCGCAAAGAATGAGCCTTTACATACAAATTTTCAAAACGTATCCAGTCATTTTTCTTACATTGATTAAAATGATTCTAAAAGATTATATTTAAGAAAAAAATTAAAATTGACAATTGGTCTGTTACATTTCAGGTTGTCGTGTAAGGCTCATCCTTTGTGGGTAACCCTTTATTATAAATCACATATTTTGCTCATGCTTTGTGGGTAACCCTGTATTAGAAGTCACATATTTTGCTCATGCTTAGTGGGTAACCCTGTATTATAAGTCACATATTTTGCACATGCTTTGTGGGTAACCCTGTATTATAAGTCACATATTTGGCTCATGCTTTGTGGGTAACCCTGTATTAGAAGTCACATATTTGGCTCATGCTTTGTGGGTAACCCTGTATTAGAAGTCACATATTTAACAGAAACACTTGAACTTAGGCAAGTGATCAATAGTGTAAATAAGTAATTATAAGTTATTACATATAAAAAATATTTAAATAATTTCTTGTAAAAGGATTGAAATGTAATTTCGAGAGATTTTCCATTTATAAACCGGTACCCTGACATGTCGGATTCAAACCGGTACCCTGACATGTCAGATTCAAACCGGTACCCTGACATGTCGGATTAAAACTGGTACCCTGACATGTCGGATTCAAACCGGTACCCTGACATGTCTGATATAAACCGGTACCCTGACATGTCAGATATAAACCGGTACCCTGACATGACGGATTCAAAACGGTATCATGAAAAGCTTTGTCTGATTAAGAACGCATCATTGAATATCAATTTTTTTCTCTTTTAAAATTGATTATCTTTATTGTGGTAAAAATGTTCAGAATAAAACGACAATATCTTCCACATTATTGATCAAAAAAAAAAGGTTAAAATCCTTAAAATATTGTGAATCGGGAGTTCCCCTTCCAATAAAAAGTGACTTGAAACTACATGGATAGAAGTTAGAAATGGGAAATTTGATGATTTTGCATGAAATCCCGTCCTTGTTGTACAATGTTGTACAATGTACATGATTGATAATTTGATTAGATCAAAAATGGTTTTTTAAAGATGACGATAAAAAGAGTTCTGCTAGTCGCTACAGGGAAATCATGTCTGATTCAAACCAGTACCCTGACATGTCAGATTCAAACCAGTACCCTGACATGTAGGATTCAACCCAGTATCCTGACATGTAGGATTCAACCCAGTATCCTGACATGTCGGATTCAAACCAGTACCCTGACATGTCTGATTCAAACCAGTACCCTGACATGTCAGATTCAAACCAGTACCCTGACATGTAGGATTCAACCCAGTACCCTGACATGTCGGATTCAACCCAGTATCCTGACATGTCTGATTCAAACCAGTATCCTGACATGTCGGGTTCAAACCGGTACCCTGACATGTCGGATTCAAAACAGTATCCTGACATGTCGGATTCAAACCAGTATCCTGACATGTCTGATTTAAACCAGTATCCTGACATGTCGGATTCAAACCGGTACCCTGACATGTCGGATTCAAACCAGTATCCTGACATGTCGGATTCAAACCAGTATCCTGACATGTCTGATTTAAACCAGTATCCTGACATGTCGGATTCAAACCGGTACCCTGACATGTCGGATTCAAACCAGTA